GTTAGTGTTGCTGTGCCCACTCGATCCACTCGACAATCAACAGGAAGACAGGTGATACAACCGAGTATAGAAAATTAGAAGGGTGAAGAAAGTCGACTCTATCTCAGGTTTCCTTTATACAAGTGCTTTGGATCTCAAGACATCCACTACACTCAGACCATTTGCTCATGAGAACGATAACTCAACATAATTTCATAAAAGAATGCTTTAAGCCAAAACGAGGTTGTTACGCCAGGGTCATACACCGGTGTTTCGGAGGTTCGTCCTCCTCGTTAGTGACCCCCGCCCCACATTAAGCCCATTAAGACGAAGAGGACGAACCTCCGAAACACCGGTGTATGACCCTGGCGTAACAACCTCGTTTTGGCTTAAAGCATTCTTTTATAAAATTATTTTGAATGTTTTTTTACGTGGTTTCAAAAACAGTAGATCCGACGAATCAATTTTGATCTAGCAGCCAAAAAACATCGACTGAGAGGTGGTGATGGACCAGTGTCTCTGCACACTGGCCATCACCACATACGCCTCCCTCCTTGCTTCAGTGCAGGGCTTAATTTGGGGCGGGGGTCACTGACGAGGAGGACGAACCTCCGAAGCACCGGTGTATGACACTGGCGTAACAACCTCGTTTTGGCTTAAAGCATTCTTTTATGTAATTATTTTGAATGTTTTTTGCGAGATTTTAAAAACAGTCGATCTGACGATAACTCAACACGTCTTTCAAATCACTGAATGAGAAACCAGAGCATTTGAATTCTTCAGAAAGGAATCGAACGATTAACAATTCATGTTTTTTTACATTCAAATAGAATTTTCAAAAAAGCGGTTACGTGATCCTCTGTCGACTTTGGAAAAAATGCTCTTTGTTTCTGAAATTCGATAAGATGTTACTCTAATATATTTACTCATCTTGTGTAGAAGAGAGTGCATGTTCCGTTCACCTTTTCATGTCCATAGAAATAGCCGGCATTGTTTGGCATTCAAGGCATATATCCATATTCGTTAACTACGGAGTTTGAGAACACAGGTTAAACTCAAATGATACACAAATGATGGGCCTTGCCTAAGTATGTCTGGTTGAGAAAAATCGATGGTTTTTAGTGAACTGCTACCGAACCTTCTGGATCGTCAACCATCGCGAAAGCGTATTTCTATACAAATTGTCACGATGAAAAAAATGTGAGACCCTGAATTTTGGTATACTGCGTGGACAGTGTTAAGGTGTTGGGCGAAGACATTTCTAAAGCTTCATGTAAGGTCCACATAATCTATTCTAGCTAAAGATCTATATCTTCCGACCTACTGAAAAGAAACAAGCTAGATAAGAGGCATCCTAATTTAGTCAAGACTGGCATTATTCTTTGTGACAGCCCTGCATTTAAGAATTTACTCTTCATTCTAAAGACTATGGTAGTGATGGCTAAACGTATTATAAAGTGACTAAAAATATCAGCGTCAACAGAGATAAATCTCTTCACAATTTTGCCTTACATTTTTTTTAGTTTTGGAAGGTAGTTCTACCGAATGGGATTTCTATTTCAAAAAAGTGAGAAACAGTAACAAGCAACTGAAGCAAGGACAACTGCGCAATTCCAACATGCTACAACAATTGGTGGTATATGCACTTAGCGCGTGGTATTCTAGATACACTTTGAAAAATGACATAGCAAATACTAGGATTTAAATTAAGATTGCTTGTTTTAACAATTTATTTTGCTGATGCAGTTTTGGCTTAGCTTTTTTTGTAGGAGATTCAATGTTTTCAAAAAAAAAGGTAACGGTCTTGTGCTGAAATTTCTCACTTAGCAATCGCTGCACGTTTCACGACTATCTTCGAAGTGGTGATGAAATTGAAATCGAACTTAGATGGGGCTGTTGGGTAACAAAACTTCTTGCACACATTAAAGAAGGAAGCCTAAACTTGGTGTTTACGGTTCATTCTTGAATTATGTATAAATCACGTTTGGAAATCTACTCCTCGGTTTTACACTGATTATGATTATGAAGTCACATGGCATCTCATTGAGCTCTCTTCTTGGAAAAAAGATCTCCATTGCATGAATACAATTGGGATTATATTTATTCAGATAAAGACAGGATTGTATCATTGAAATTGAGAGTAACGTCCAAGCTGGCACTAATGAAGCTGTTTTGAATTTTTAGACCAATTATTTGAACATAGTAAGCTATGAGGCAACTCACCATCGTGGAAAAAAGGGGATACGCTTATCATGTTGATAACTAACTTTTATACGGAATCCAGGAATTTCTATGGAATATTTCTATGGCTCTGATAAGAAAAAGGCAGAAAGAAGTTTCAACACGATCCTTATCTCTACTAGGCGCATGACGCAGCAATCTACACAAGGATAACGTGTCCTATTCTTTCGACTCATTTACAACTTTGCTCTTAGAGTAAACACGAAATTCTTAGCATTTAGTCAAATTTCACAAATCACTGACAGTCTGGTCGGGAATGGATAGAAATGTGGAATACCATTTTCTAAGTGAGAGGCCATGCACAGCTTGTAATTTTAGATGAAAAGATGTGCAAATATCATCAACCCGATCACCACGTCATGTAAATGATTATAGTCAGTGAAGGCTAATCAATGTGAATGATTTGGGGAAAGCTGCCCAGTCGTTGAATTAAATTGTCCATTTTGCACCACAGAATTGTTATTGCACATTGTGCTTCCTTGTGGACGGTTTGAGTTTGCATATAAAGCTCTAAAATTTCTAGCTATGCCTGAAATCGCTTTTGAACAACAGACAAAGATCTCTCGACATCAAGCATGAAATGCTCCAACCCTCTGAGTGGTGAGCACTTGCAATGAACAGCTGTCTCCAATGTGCTTATTGCCCTTGAGCAATATATACAAAAACACGCCAAAGAAAGTAACGAGTCGGTGTTATTTACAAACGAAGTGCCTGTATGGCTTTCGTAGACAAATCGCTTCTACAAACGTTCACTGAAGTGCAGATGAAGCCTAGAGAATCATATAAACCTCGTTTGAAATCTATAACACTCGACGATCTATCAGTTTCAGTTCTATCAGTATGCCCGATATTTTTCCCTTCAAAGTTCTAGCGTACCTGGTTGACTTACACTCTGTAAGTAACATATCTCATATAACATAAGTAACACACTCGTCGTCTACAATAACGCAGATGACTTTATGTAATTTCACTTTGAGAAGGATTCTATCTTTTCTTCTACCATAAATCAAGTTTTGTTGAGCGTCGATAACATTCTAATAAGGAAAATCTCTTCTCAGTTCAAAGTTTCGTCCAAAGCATGGTTGATTATCAGCTCCTGCTGTCTATAGATTCTGCAGCACAGCACTATTGCGACATGGTAAGACGGCTTATGGTGACAGATCATTTACCTGACGTCATTATGTGGTGATATGGACGCACACATTTATTGCCACCTTAAAGAGATGATTACACAGTAATTCCACGTCAAAGTGACGACCTGAACTTTAGTTGTAAACTGAAAAGGATAGCAAGACGTCGATCTGTAGCGCTATGTAGGCAACTCAGAAGCTCCTAGTATCTGTATGTTATTTGACCTAGCAAATATTATACCAACTCGTTCAAATTCTGCAAGGTAAGATATGGACAACAAATTTTGATAAATGGAACATTATGGAAAGGCCGCTGTTTTTCTTTGAGCGCATACGTGGTTGCTATTAATATCGCCATTCAGATGGCTGATAAACGGCTGCTGTAACCTCAAAGCAGGCTGACTCTATAACTCGCAATACTTTCGTCAAAAAAAAACATGCACGAGTGTTATTTACATTATAAACAGCTTTTTCTAGACACTTATCATTTTCTTATCTATATCTCTTTCAGCTATTGTTAAAGATTAGCTGCACAGAGTCCTGCATATCCAAGAATTGCACCTTGCTCGGGTCAAAAAGTGAGCTTCAGGGATAGCGTGACGATACGCGTGTTTGAAAGTCGCATCTTTCCGCGGTCTATTTTTTGATTTCTGGATTATATCCAGAACAATCCCAGAGTCTTACAAACTAATGTTCCGGATTCCTGGTCTAGAATACCGATTTTTCTTCGGACGACCGCTGAAGTTGCAGCACTTTTTAATGCAGCACCTTATTTCGACACATGGATAATTATTTCTCCACATCTTGGAAAACCTCCAACGTTTATCTTATACTATCTATGCTGTGAAATCTTCTGTATGCATTGCCAATATTTAATGCATGTGCAGATCTTGTGTGTGACGAAGAAGCACTTGTCCACTGTCTAAGCACGTGACCGTTTGCATTCTGCGAAAAGTAATGAGCAGTTCAATAATATCGTGTTAATGATCATTTAGAACTGACATATTCTTGTTTCTAAATATTCAAAAGTTTCTTCATTATTATTTGAGCCAACTTGTCATGTGGTCCGATAACGGCTCTTGTACAGCCCGATACACGTGTTTCGCCCTTACAGACTCGTCAGTCAGGCAAAACCCGTCGTCTCTCGAAATTTTTATAGTCAGTTCTTTTGGGACCTCTGCTCCCTTACAGAGAGTCATCGAAGACGAATGTTTTATACTCTATGTCAAGCGAAATTTTCACCTAACACAGAGTGTTTGCGCACTCAATTGCTCTTTGGCTGGCATTTTTATCATATTATACCTTTATTTCGAGTGTTTTATTAAGACCACGCTCAAATTTCAGTAGATCCTTTCATTGTTATTTGAGCCAACTTGTCATGTGGTCTGGTATGGGCTCTTGTACAGCCCGACTGCCCGACTGAAGAGTTTGTAAAGACGAAACACGTGTAATGATCACTTGAGAACTAACATATTCTTGCTCTTAAAATATTCAAAAGTTGTCGTCAGGTAAGCTAAGAAAACGTCGAACTATGTGAAAAATGATGCTAATCACTTATGTGGTGGCATTTCTATGATCAAACGCAATCCTTCTTATTTAACCACTTCTAGCAGTATATACCTTTTGTTGTGAAGCGATATGCAAAACTTTTGCGTCGGGCGGGACTCGAACCCAGATCTCACTCTATTTGGGGCGTGTGCTCTAACCCGCTGCACTACTGACGCCGATTTTGCCCACCACTCTTTCCATACTAAAACGCATCTATCTGTTCATCCACCTCTAGAAGCGGTTAAATAAGAAGAATTTCGTTTGATCACCAATACCCAATATCTGTCAGCGTGACTGCGTTCAATGTCGGTACCGAATACTCAGGCCAGGCCGTTTGTTGGCGTGACAGATAAATGCGTTGTAGCGTAGAAAGAGTGGTGTGCAAAATGGGCGTCAGTAGTGCAAAGCAATGGCAAGGGTTAGAGCACGCACTCCCGGATAGGGTGAGATGTGGGCTCGAGTCCCGCCTGACGCGGAAGTTTGCACATCTGTTTTCATCGATGGGTACATCTGAGGACGTTTCATCAATAACTCCTAACAACATCTCGATAAGTGGTGCTCTCAGGTGATGAAACGTCGATGGAGTTACAAAAGACTTTGTTTTATGGTTCTATCGACAGAACGAAAAGATCAGTGAAGTTTCCATCACCTCAAAATATGGCAACGGAGTAATATCGTTTGTTTTATGTTTCCACAGGATCTCTTGTCATTGTTGATAAGATGTTTTATGGCTCAGAATGTCCGGTAAGCAGAAACCGATTGCAACGAGAACTAGTGGCAATGGTAAGCCACTATGATGGCGGAGTAGGGAAGATAAGAACAATCAAAGCGAAGTTCATTATGGGGCTACTCTGAAAGTGATATTAATACTTGGGGGACGTTTTGAAAAAGTATTTTCATTCATCTACTTCATTATTGATATACGTTGAATTAAGTAAAACAGCAGATTCGCACCATTGCAGAGTTAACAGATGTTATGAATAGATAGCCTCCATATCACTTATTCAGGAAGATATATGAATGATTTGCTCAATCCGAACACAAAACATACTTTTCCATTTGTTCCGTTGCCTGCAATCGTCATAGAGATGACACCATCCGGTGAATTTCAGCCACGATTTGAGGATCTCTTGTCATCTTTGCTCGTCAATATCTTTATGTCGACTTTGCTCGATTTTCTTGTAAATTAAGAATAGTAGCTCCGCGCAGTCCTCAAACCTTCATTTATATTGCATAAGCTGTGAAATACCATCTTAAGACGAGGAGCATTCCTTACTTAGGCAACAAAATAATAGATGATAAGGAACTGATGCCTGATAATATGCCTACAAGTATTTTTTGAGTCCTGTATGTGGCCTATTGGAGGGCAGCTTGTAGAGCACAATCACGTGCTGCAGACTTGACAGCCTCTTCAGTCGGGCCCTTCGCCCTTCCTTAGCCAATCTTCTCTGGGGAACCTAACCGCTGCATAGATTTAACAAAAACGAACTTGTTACATGCGCCATTATGTGAAAATATTGACTGAATGGACAGCGTTTTACACTCGATTGCTCTTGCCTGGTATCGTTAAATACATCAACATTATAAATAACTTTAGCATATTTTTTAAGCGTGGTTTTAAGAAAGCACTCGAAGCGAGAGGCATGATGCGCAAAAATTTCTTACACTCTACGATTTCAAAAGGACTCGAACATCATGTCAAAAATGCGAGAAACTGCACAGGTCACTACTCAGCACAGGATTTCAAGCCTTAACATGATTCGATTTAGGACTCGACGGATTCTATGAGTGAACAAAAGGCGGTTGCCTCCACCTTCATCAGAGAACAGTATGTAGCAGAAAAAGTCGTCCATTGTAACGGCGTTTTCGACAACTCTATAATTTATGTATCTGTGTGCGAAAAAGTATTCATGTAGGACGAAATGTTATTCATGACTAATTGAGGAATTTGTTCAATTCATGAGGCATTTGAGTTCACAATTCTATAGCTAACATCACAATTACATTACAAATAAACATTACGCTATCAAACGATTACTAATCGTCTGAAGAAAAGGCTCTGTTTGAGCGACGTTATAAAGCACAAATCAAAGACCAAAGGAGACCAAAACATCAAAAGTGCTTTTATAAATGCAGACACGTTTTAGAGTTCTTTAAAGCCTGTGCTGTAGTTCGATTATTAGCACTCTAAGAAAGGAGTTTTGTCCAACGGAATATAGGCGTGACAGGGGAAAAAAACACATGGTTTCATGAAACTTTATCTTACTTTGATATAACAGCGTTTCAAGGAGGTATTTTGAGAAATCGGGAACATGTGACCGTAGGTTCAAGTCTCAGCTTTCGAATGGTTACTATTATTCTCCATGAAAAGTCTAAAAACACCCCTTTACAAAGCTGTAATTTTCGAAGTAAAATTAAGTTCCATGAAATCACGTGATTTTTCCTCTTGTCTCGCTTATATTTCGCTGGACAAAACTCCATCCTTAGAGTGCTAATACTCGAACTACAGCACAGGCTTCAAAAAGCTGAAAAAGGTGTCTTCTTTTCAAAAAGCTTTTTCGATTTTCTTTGTCTCCTTTGGTCTCTTGATTCGTGCTTTGAAACTCGCCAAAAAGAGCTCTTTCTTTAGACTATCAGTAATCATCTGATAGCGCAATGTTTATCTCTGGAAACACGACCTAGCAGAGAAAATGAGATCGAGTTTTACATTTTCAGCAGGTTGTTCACTGGCTATTCGACAGGGCGATGGCCGCGGCGGTGGGCGAGGCAGATGGTGGGAGAGGTGAAACATTCGATAAATTGTTATCCAATTAGGAATTTTTCCTCAGCTTGAAAAAACTTCAAGTAGACGACTGAGTAAGATACTACGAAAATTCCTCTACACATTGATACGCTTTTCGACTTCCAGCAAGTTATACGCGTGATAAATATGAAGGCGAAAGGCGAATGTGAAGCATAGATCTAATCTGGATGCTGCACAGTTTTTGTTTTTTTGCTTTGTTGTTGTTTTTGTTGTTTTAAAAAACAAGAGTTTTGTTTTGTTTAAAACAAGGATGTTTGAAAGACTGGCGACGTGGAGCTGAAGCCTCAACTTTCAGCTTTCGAATGGTTACTAACTCTTCTATGAAAATTTCTCTCCAGCGATGAGCTCTGTTTTTCATCTCTTTGCTCCTAAAAAGAAAGAATCGATAAAAGGAATTTGTTATGGAATTATTTCCGTTGACAGGTTAAACGAATCTGAAGGCAAACATCTAAAACAAGGATTACCTTATTTCTCCTTCAAATTAATTCATTTTCAGGATAAATGAAGTGCTTGATAGGCATCGTACTCCAAGAACGACAATTCAGAGATTAGCCTTGTTTTTCAGAATGAACATCAACAAAAATTATTCTACACTGGTAAGGAGGCAATTTGTATAGCTACTGGCAGGTCTTGCTTGACATAATCGACTGGTACATCGTCACTGTCTACTACTCGAAGGTCACGTATTTGCTTGCAATTAGGTATAGATCTGAGCACTCAAATGCCTTTATAAATTGAACGATTTTTTTCATTAGTTTTGAATCATATTTTGTCCCTTGTAAAAGACTTTTTGGCACTGGTGCATGAATTAAAAAGTTGTTGAAAACAGCGTAGCAATGACCACTTTTTTGCTACATTCTTTTCTTTGATGAAAGATGGAGGCAACCGCCCTTTGTTTGCTCGAAGAATTCGTCGAGTCCTAAACTAGATGATATTGAGCTCCTCATTCCTTCCCCTCCTCCGATAATTTTGTGGTGTACAGTAACTTGAGCAATCGCTCGGATATTTGGCATGATATTGGAGTATTTTGAAACGCGTAGAGTGGAAAGAAATTTTGCGCATCAATTCGATATCATCTTCTATTTTGCTCGCCATGTAACTAGTATTCTTCGTTTTAAAACTGTATACAGCTGCTTGGGTGAATGAATGAAGGCTTGAAACTAACTCCGTAGAGCTACTTTTTCATATTTTAAAGCAAAATCGACCAAAGTCGATACTAAGAATATTTATAAAAAAAAGGCTACAAATCCTCCACTCATGGCCAAAGCTTAGCGAGAAGTGTCATCTCTATGACAATTGTAAAGCAACGAAGCAAATAGAAGAAGTAATGGTTTGTGGTTCAGATTGAAGAAATCATTAATATATCTATCCAAGTGAATGATATGATAGGTACTTCTTCATAACATCTGTGAACTCGGCAAAAGGGATGATTTTAGTACTCCACCTGATTCAAAGTATGTCACCAATGTAGTAGTTGGAAGAAAACATTTCTAAAGATGTTTCCAACTTTTAAGAAAAGAGTCAACATCCTAATCAAAGCAGGTTCATAATAAATTTCGCTTTGACGGTTCTTATCTTCCATATTATGCTATCAGTGGTTTACTATTCCCACTACTTGAGCTGCAATCAGTTTCTTCTCCTTCAACATTGTCACCCATAAAATTTCTTGTTATCAATGACAAGCGTCTCCGTCCACTGATGTCGGCAGAACCACCACACAAAGTTTTCTTTAAATCTAGAGAGGTCCCAACACCTAAAGTTTCACTTATAGAGATACTGTTGAGACTTTCCCTTAAAATGTCATCACATGAGTTATTAGCATCATTTTTCACAAAATTCGACGTTTCCTTAGTTTCCATTAATGACCTTTGGATATTTATGGTACGAGAAGATGTCAGTCCTATATAATCATTAACGCAATATTATTTGCACAGCGATTACAACTTGAGGAATGCAGACGGTCATATGCTTAGACAGTGGGCGAGCGCTCCTTCGTCACAAACAAGAACTCCACATACACTAAATAATGGTATTGTCTACAGAAGATTTCACAGTGCGCATTATATAAGACAAACGCGAGAAGTTTTTCACGGTGCGGAAGAAAAACTGAATTACGTAATCAAAATAAGGCATCGCAACCGACTAGTGCTGCAATTCGGCGGTCGCTCACATTTGATAGCAAAATAACTAATTAAGCTTGCTTAGGAAATGAAAACAAACCGGGATTCTGATGTGAAATTGCCATTCTAGCACAGGAATCCAAAACCTTAGCTCTCAAGGCTATGGCAGCGCTTTGAATAAACTCCAGAAATCTGGAAATAGACCGCAGGAACATGGGACTTTCCAAACACGCGTATCCTCGTGCCATCCTCTCAGGATCATTTTTTGACCTGAGCATGGCCTGAATAATTCCAAGATTTTTAGCAGCTGATCTTCAAACAACTGGCGCACATATAACGAAGAAAATGATAAGTGCAGAAAAAGCTGTATATAATGTAAAGAAAATTGATGCGTAAAGTTTTTTTCTTTGCAGAGGATACTTAAAAGTATCTGGCTGAGTTGACCAGAAGTCAGCTCGAGTTTCAGGGTTGCAGCAAGGCTATTGTTGCATCAACCATCTTTGAATGATCGTTGCTAATAACATCCCTGTATGCGTCTCAGAAAAAGTGGCC